TCGCTAATAAACGCACTGCAGGTGAAATGAAAAGTGCAGGTTAAAGCGAGCCACATGCCGCATGTCAGGAAATCTGTCTTGGTTAGGTCAGTGAGGTGGAGGGAAGAACAGGGAATTCATTCATTATATTTTCCATAGCAGAGCAGATTCTGTGTTCCATTAGTGGTAATTATAGATCACGGCCTGATCAGTGCAGCAGCTCATGTTGCATGCAGAAATTCAAAGTTTACTATTTACTATTGTCCTGTTTTAGAGCTGCTATACTGCGGAATTGAATTTTGTCTGCATCAGTAAATTATTATTTTCCAGTTTAACACTCAAGTTGCTTTGACAACATCTGCATTGTATAAAGTGCAATGAAAAATAAAGGTAAAGTTATTTACTCAGCCTTACAAATCTGTGCGCTTTTTCATGCTTTTCATGTTACCCTTGGGAAATATCATCAGGAAACATGGTGTTAACTTTCACTGTTACGCTGATGATACTTAACTCAATATTTCTTTGTGTCCTGATGAAACAGAATGCATAGTTGATTTAAAAAGCTGGATGACTAGTAATGTCCTACTGCTGAATTCTGAAAGAACTGAGGTTCCCTTTCATGGGAACTTTGAACTGCATCTTCTAGGGGTCGCTATGGGGAACGACTCGTCGTGACCCGTGTCTGAAGCATACATTGCAAAAAAAACACCAACAACACGTTGGCCGGCGACAGCCATGACGTCACTACCGGTGCAACTATAGTATAAATAGGCACCGTGAAAACACATCATCCTCTTCTTCGGCTTCATTGACTGTTTTGTTTGAAGCGTGCATTTCTGTGGTAAGAGCAATCTCTATTCATATTATGGCGAGCACTAGCAAAGCGTTTAGAGGATGTGTGCATCCGTGTTGTCATTGTTTAACATCTGATGACACACCCGATCTATGCATTATTTGTTTGGGCGAAGAGCACACAAGCACACGGTGTCCTCGAGGGGCAATCTGCGTGCACTGCGAGTGTTTTTCAAATGAAAAAGCTCCGCTCTCGTTTGACTCTCTTCTTGAAGAAAGAGGGGCAGCCATCTGCTTACCGCGATTCAGGACCTGCCGCTGCTGAGGCACGGAGGAGAATGAGCTCGTGGGGTTTGCAGGTGGATCTGGCCGATGAGTTTGAAGAGGGGTTTTCTCTCTCACGATCGTCGGATGTGGACGAGAGTGAGCCACTGGAGGATGATGTTATTTAATTAACATTGTCTGATCCAGGGGCCAGTGCTCTGCTGGGATCAGCCCAGCAAAAGCAGGAAATGTCTTAGGAGGGCAAAGAAGCTGAGGCTGAGCCTTCCCAATCCTCCTGCCCTGCGTATGATGAGCTTTTGAAAGTTATGGATTGCGCCACAGCGAGGCTTTACTTGCCATGAAGCGGGCGAAGAAAGTGACGTCGCGAGTTCATCTCAATGAATGTTATTTTTCTCGCCATAACCCTCCAGCTCAGGTGAGCCTTCCTTTCTTCCTGTTTTCCATACAGATATTGAGAAGGAATGGAAGAGGCCGTTTTTTCCTAACGCATCCATCCAACAAATGAGTTATGATAACATCGAGGCGATGTGCGAAAGCGGTTATGAGAAGATGCCTCTACAGAGAGACGCTGGCCAGTTATCGCTCTATGGGTCAGACGTCCTCTCTTAAGACTCCCTCCTTGACATCTCGCTCTAATGCCAGGGCATGCGCAGCAGCAGCAGGTCGGGCTGTTGCTTCATTGCACACGATGGTGATGCTCCATGCATATCAGGCAGACCTGGTGAAAGACTTGGATAAAGGCGAGGGCCTTTCTCCTGATGAGGTAGCTGAATGCGCCGCACCACGGATCTTGCTCCCTGCCTCTGCTAGTGGCAGGTCCATGAGAGCTATGGTAGTGACGGAGGGACATCTGTGGGTGAACCTAGCAGATATCGGGAAAAAAGAGAGGGGCTTTCTTCTCGATGTGCCGGTTTCGCCTTCCGTATTTTTGGTACCTCCGTTGAGACAGTGGTCGAGAAGTTCAGGGAGGCAAAGGCGCGCTCAGCGGCCTTCACAAAGGTCCAGGTCTGAGCCCGAACAACCCAGGGGTCCTTGCCCGTCTCGGTTTGAGGATCAAAGACGGGCACAGAAGGCTAGTGTCACGGCTTGCGCTCCTCCCCCGCCCGCGGGTAGGGGTAGGAAGAATTGCGGGTCGAAGGTAGGTAAAATCTTATCTTCCCCTTCCTAATTCCCCTCTAACTTCCCTCTCTCCACCTGACCGAGGTTAGGTGGGAATTTCCTGCATTACAGTCTCCTATGCTGGACCTATGACGTTTGGTTGATTCTATGGCTTCATAGTGACCACCTTACTGATGGTCCGGACCAGAGGCTTCTTCGGATGGGGCTCCAAAGCGGGAACAATGGTGGGTGAGTTTAAATGTGTGTGTGTGTGTATTTAATGCGCTAGTGGTTGTGTGTATAATCCTTCTGCTAGCTTTCTTTGCTGTGTTTCCCGGGACCTGTGTGTTTCTGTCCTTTTTCTAGGGTAGGTCCTCAATCCGGAGGGCGCTTTCGAGGAGTGGGCTCTGAAGGGCGCTCTGGAGGAGCGGAGTTAGCTAACACAGGAACCGGCAAACATTTAAACATAAATCTTTAATAATCAAATAAACAAACAAACAAACACAAAACTAAAGTAAAAGCGGCAGCCCCTCACGGACAACTACCGCATAAAACATAATAAAACAACATAAATAGCCCAGGCCTGGTCCTCTCTCGTCCTTCACTGTTGTTACTTCTCCTTTTATCCTTCCAGAGCTCCTCCATGGAACTCGAGACCGGTGAGTGGCACAGGTGTCGCTCATTATCATTTACTAATTTTTCAAGAGGCAGACACACTCTTTCAGTTTAAATCTAGATTGAAGACCCATCTCCTTAACCAGGCACACACATAACACTATCACATTTCTATAATTCAAATCCGTTAAAGGATTGTTAGACTGTTCATTAATTAACACTTCCCATAACACCCGTTGTACTCGTTACATCATAAGAAGAATATTAGACTAATATTAGTCTAAATTACCTACAACCTCTACAGCCCTGAATGTTAGTGGATACCATGTCAACTAGATGCGCCATAAATGATGAAACTGAAATAATGTTCCATTTTTCTAATAAAACAACATCAAGAATGTTTCAATCAATAAATTCAAAAGTTTGGCCATATTCCCGCAGCATTAGCAACCTGCACTGATTCCATAATGAGCCATAAAAAATCTGTGGTCCATTTTTAACTCTGGATTACTGATGAGGGAGAAACAAAGACGAGAAAAGTACTTTTTACGTATCCAGATATGTGCATATGCAGGATTCTTACAGCTTTTAAAAGAGTGTGCTTGAGCGTGGAAAGACCAAATAGGCTGAGGTGGGGAGAAACCTGCTTATTGAAAGAGCTGCGTGCACAAATGGGTTAAGGCTACATCAAACAGCACTTATTGCATCTTGATTGAATTCCTAACATTAACAGCCTTTTAAAATATTCATTGTCTCAGTTTAATCACTCTCTCTTTCTGTCTCTCTCTCTCTCTCTCTCAAACACACACAACTAATGTGTAACACTGGTCAAGGTAGAAATGGGCTCAGTCTAGTCTGTGGTTTCCAGTGATCAGGCCCGGTTCTACGGGGGTGCTAGAGGGTGCCAAGCACCCTCAAACAAAATCCCTTAGTTAAATCTGTATTAATGGAACTTTATTGAATATTTGGCAAACTATCCAGAGCGTTATGGTTTGCGCTCTGGAGATTGATTTTCTATGTCATCTTTCGGTGTTCTATGTGTTTTTGCAGCATTGATCAATGTAGCCAATCACAGACACATGTTGATTTCTTAAATCAGAGACGTTTAAGTTGGAATCCACTCACCGATGAATTCACTGGAGTTTTTGTTCTGGTATTGTATTCAGCACGAATCATCTCATTATAACAATGTGTTGATGCGTTGTGCAGCATAGAGAACTTTATTGATAACGTATCTTTGTGAGATCACAATGAACTGAGATGAATGACAGCTTTTTAGTGATTATGAACGTAGCGCTCTTTGCACCATAGCAACGGATGCCTATATATATATAAAAAAAAAATATATATAGCCCTATATATATATATTAGTGGTGTCAAAATTAACATGTTAAGCGATTCATTGTTTTAGTTTAACGTGTTAAAAATATTTTACACAATTAACGCTAAAAGAGCTAGGGTTGGCCTCCCCACTCACAACTGCTGCTTGTCACTTTTTCTCTTCACAAGAAGTGCATTTATTCAGTCACAGAACGACTGAGAACAGGGGACGTTTCAGAAACGCGCTCCACTTCACTTCAGCGCCAGGCGCGAGTCAAACTAGTCCGGAAACGGTACTGTGCTCGCAGCGCATGCTCTTCAATTGCACTCACAAAGGCACCGGCCAGCACTGTAGCCTATATCCTTTCATATTAAAGTGCAAAATAAACTAAGTGCGTGCAATGTGGTGGTCAGTTAAGTCATGAAGTTACCAAAAGGTGATTAAAGCTGCGCATGTGTGGCGGTAAGTGGTCAGGAGTTTGGAATATTACCAATAATAAGAGAAAGCCTGTAGTCGACTACACCGGGACATAAAAGCCCCAAACAAAGGGACACAGGTTCATTGCCAAAAGGCAGGGTGAGCATAATAATGAGTATAAACAAAAGTCACTTTATTAACATACAATTGATAAAAACACTTCACACCAGGTCTCAATACATCACACATCTTTACCAGTAACTTATAAAACAAGTACAATACAATAAGAGAAAATAAAGGGGGAGGTGGCCAGCAAAGACCCTCAGATTTCTACCCCACACTCAATACCCATGACACGCACTCGTGAAAAATCAGTAATATTAAACACAGCACTCCATGTGGACACGCAGTACAAGGTACCATGGCTAACCCCTCCCACCTAAATCCACACACACCAAATAATACAAAACATAATATAACAGACAGAACAAAACAGAGTAGAGCAGAGCAGAAGTGCAGTCAGTTACGTGAGGTTCGTTAGGCTTCAATTAAGATCATTAGAAACCCCTGGACGTGCAATCAATCCTGCTGGACATTAAACAAAAGTTACACATAAAAACTTATTTAAAACTAGCCATACCTACCAAGAAAACAGTACAATGCTGCAATACACATAGTCGCTCACCATGCAGGATTACAGCTACTTGCAGGCCCATATCTAAAAACAACAAAGGTAATAAACCTCTATTTAACAGGCAAAAAGGCATTTTTAAAACCGGGACAAACCTGAAAACTGGCCAACAGCCAGCACACGACAGACAGGAGGATAACCCAACTGCTGGCACTCATTCAAAACGCCACATGTCACAAAGGGGCGGTACCAAGGATGATGCATCCCAAGCAACCAAACACTCCCCCTTTTATGGGCACACAGGCACTAATTGGCTCATGAAACTTACCCAACCATGATAAAGTATGAACACTGATAGGTTCACCTGTTCCGAATCATCTTTTAACTGCCTCACTTCCTGCTCTGAACCTCCGCTCAGGAACGGTCACACTTGATTCTCGCTGAGCGGGCCTGAAGGCCAGAAGTATGATTCAGAGAGAGAAATTTTAAAGAATGCACTAAGAGAGAGTGGAGAGCAAAATATTAGTAATATTCTTAAAAAAATCTGCAGATGATAAGGGTTGGAGTTTACTTCTAGAGTATTTAGGATCAACAAGACTAATAAATAGAATTTGAGATATATAAGTTATTGATTTTTTTTTGTTTTTTGGGGTGTTGTGTATAGTGATTTAGATCCTGAGTCCACACTCCAGATCAGTGGGTGGCGGTAATGCACCCGAAAGCTGTTTGCCAACTGCCAATAAAAAACAAAAGAAGAAGAAGAAGAAGAAGGTTCACCTGTTTGGGTACCGCCAGCCAATTATACTGGGTCTATAGCTCATTCTGCTACATATGCATGTAATATATTTTATGAGTCAGATTTAAGAACATGTCTCTGAAATGGTTTTCAAAACTTTCCTGGAGCAGCCCAGCACAGTCTCACTCATCTAACACTCCCAATTTAACTCGTCAGCTCATTAATAGAGACTTTAAGACATGAAGTGGGTCAGAAAAGGTAAAAAGAGTTCAGAGAAAATGATGAGTGTCAGATCTGCGTCACGTTCAGCTGCGGCAGCTCTTAAAGAAATAACAACCAAATTAACTTAATAACCAGCTGCTGTGATGTCTATTAATCAAAGGACAAAGAAAAAAAAGAGTGAAAAAGAACTTTTATATCTTTAAGGATACATCTATATTTAATTTAGAATTTAGTGTTTGACATCTTCAATTTCAATTTCTGTATATTTCTGCTGAAGGGCACAGGTAAATATGACATTTATCATAATGGGTTTATGTGAATGTTTTAAGTTCACTTAAATTAGAAGTTATTTTTTAAAGTTTAATAAATGTTAAAATTGATTGCTCTCAAATATACTGTAATGTTGAATGTTATAGTCAATGGTTAATATATATATATTAGTGCTGTCAAACTATTAAAAAATAACTAATTAATCGACATTTTTCTGAGATTAATCGCGATTAATCCCACCTAACATTAAAGTTTTTAAATATACTTTTACATTGCAATGATTTCACATTCAATCTTAAAATTAATGCACAAACAACATAAATAGGGCTGGGTATCGATTGAGATCCCGATTCGATTTCGATTCACAAGCTCTCGATTCGATTAGCTTTTTTTTAATTACATTTAGTGAATATAGTTTTAATACAAATGCTATTGATATTTCAAAAAAAATTAACAGTAAACATCAGTTTACAAATACTGAATTAATAAAAAGAAATTAAGAACCACATGCCTGTATTTTAAACTTATTTTTGTTTTTGTATAGGGTCCTTTTTAAACAATAGTAGGCCCCTATAAAATGTTCTTAATTTTTCTGGTAATCAGATGAAGGCATAAAACATTAATTTAATTTATAATCAAATGAAAATTTAAACCCTTTTATTTTTTTGGCAAACAAAGTGCGGCACAACAGAGGTTTACTGTTAAAATTAAAAATAAAACAGATGTGATTATTCCTTTAAAAATAAAGATTTTTTTATATTTATTAGCAGTAGTAGCACTGAGTCTTCAGACTGCTAAATAGTAATATATTCTGACAGTTTAACGTTAAACTAAACTTTTATTTTGACGGGTTGCCGTGAGGAACTTGCAGTTGCTGTGTATGTGATATGACGGTAGTTTTCTCAAATGAAACGCTAAAATGCTAATGAAGTGAGTCTCAGAGCAGCTGGAGATGACATTCATGTTCATATCATCATATAGTAAGACGGCAAAAGCTGAAAACACCCCGAGCGTCATCCGCGCTTTAGTATGCGTGTAGTAAACAAAGTGCACCGCACCATCCGCCATTCATTCATTGTGGAAATCATGGCGCCTTATGCGTTATAACAAATGCTTCCGCAGATTTATAGTATTACTGTAGCATTTCACCTGAGCATCGCGAATCACGTGTATGGCCATGATAAGCGCTGAATGAATGACAGGCTTTCTGTTGTAACATCGCGCAAGGTAAATAAGGGTGACATCTAGTGGAGAAGACTAATGATAAGATTCACGTTAATCAGATCTTGTTTTAAATGTGCTGAAATAAATCCCGGAAAAGATCGATTCGTGGCTTTTGAGAATCGATATCGAATCGATGTCATTTAAAAAAAACAATTAATCAAAAAATCAATTTTTTTTGCCCAGCCCTAAACATAAAGACAGTATATTTTTTTATATTTGTTTAATGGCATCTTTTTTTTTATAACTGAAGGCCAGTATCAATGATTGTCACAATAAGCTCTTCGATGGAAGCATGCAGGAGGCATGAGTAAACATAAACAGTCTTTAATCCACGGAACACTGGGAAAAGCCACATAATAGGTGCTGGCGCAAACACACGTACATAAACGGTCAACCCATTAAACACAGAACGCAAAGGGATCGTCTTAAATACAAGGGATAATTGGAGAAACAGGTGGATCACATATGACAATCAGACTAGCCGAGAACAGGAACATGACCAAATAAGGAGAAACAGGAACAGAAACAGGGGAAAAACATGACATAGACAGTTCAGAATCCTGACATTGATACTAATACGGATTTCTCTATAAAATTGCCCCCCCCCCATATTTAACTATTGACTATAACCATTCAACATTACAGTATATTTGAGAGCAATCAATTTTAAAATTTATTAGACTTTAAAAAATAACTTTTAATTTAAGTGAACTTAAAACAATCTTCACATAAACCCATTATAATAAATGTCATATTTACCTGTGCCCTTCAGCAGAAATATACAGAAATTGAAGTTATCAAACACTAAATTCTAAATTAAATATAGATGAATTCTTAAAGCTTTTATTTATTTTTTCCTCTTTTTTTTCTTTGTCCTTTGATTAATAGACATCAGGGCAGCTGGTTAATAGGTTCTTTTGGCTGTTATTTCTTTTAAGAGCTGCCGCTGCTGAACGTGATGCAGATCGAACACTCATCATAATTTCTCTCAACTCATTTGACCTTTTCTGACCCACTTCAGTTCTTAAAGTCTCTATTAATGAGCTGACGAGTTAAATTGGGAGTGTTAGATGAGTGAGACCATGCTGGGCTGCTTCAGGACCGTTTTGAAAACCATTTCAGAGACATGTTCTTAAATGTGACTCATATTAAATATATTACATGCATTTTAGTAACTTCATGACTTAACTGACCATGACATTGCATGCACGTTTATTTCGCGCTTTGAAATGAAAGGATACAGGCCACAGCACACGCCGGCACCTTTGTGCGTGCAATTGAAGAGCACGTGCTGCAAGCACAGTACCGTTTCCACATTTTTGGCTGTTTTCGCAGATATATGTAAACACGAATCATTTTGAAAAAGTTATCGTGTATACGTCAAACTTTTTAAAAACTTAAGAGAAAAACTTTTCTGTTTTTGACTACATCGTTGTCATGTAAACGTAGCCTGAAACGTCTCCCATTCTCAGTCGTTCTGCGACTGACTAAATGCACTTCTTGTCAAGAGAAAAAGTGACAGAAGCAGCAGTTGTGAGTGGGGTGGCCAACCCCCCCGCGCTAATTGCATTAAATATTTTTAAGGCGTTAAACTGAACAAAATAATTGCCTGCGTTAACGCGCTGATTTTGACACCACTAAGTGTCTATATTTACTATTCTACAGGAGCCTATTTGTGACATAGACTTAGAGAGATACTCATTCTTTGGATAGACAGTCCTGGCATTTTATAACAGCCAATAAATGTCTTAAAATACATCACTTAAATGTTTAGATGTTCTACCATCTTCATTAATTGCTTTCTCTTAATGTATTGACCACAGGAGACATGTTGACCACAGTACTTGCTAAAAGGATTTAACTGACCTTTTTACTCTGGTGGTTATTAGCATAAATGGAGTTAGCAAATCATATATGTGCATTGTCACATGTGTGTCCACAAAAGAGTGCCAGCCGTACTGCATATCAGCCTGATGAGGGACAAAAATAGAAGCCATCAAATCTTCCTGTAAGCCTTTTAGAACCTCAACCAGATTTATAAACTGCAGAGTCTTCATAAACACGGCTCCTCTCTGCCAAGCCTGTAGGAAGTTCAGTTCAAGTGTTCTCCAGTCTAATAGATGAGAAACTTGGATAGGCGTGTTGCCTTTGATTCCTCAGTACCAGCTAATAAAGACCTGGATGGAAAAACATACATCATCATGTCAATTTCAATATTTGCAGTTAAAATTGGCAAGAAGCACATTGATTAAAAACTCAAAATAAAACCGTACACACTAATAATTTAAAGTAAAAAAAGAGGCATTAATCTAGGAAGAGCTGATGCCAGAGACAATCCCAGCTGAACATCAGAAGAAAACCCCAACTAGACCAAAACATATTATTGAAATAGAGAAAGAAATATATCTAAAACAACTGGAATTGTCAATTTATTACTTTTGTTTTTCTTTCAGTTTTATCTCCCTAGTCATAGTTTTGAAAGTTTTTACTTTGATCTGTGTCTATCTATTGTCTCTCCTGTTGTCTTGTGTCTATCGTGTTGGTTCCTGCCCTGCTTCCTGAGTCCTCCCTGGTGGCTGATTCTTCTGACCTGACAGACATGTTGGTGCTTCAAGAGTTACCATCCCCAGGGCCAAGCCTGTGGTTCCTTGAGCTGCTACCTAGTTCCCTTTTGCCACAGAGTCTGGAGCTACCCCCATCCCCGACCAGCCTGTTCTCCTGTCGTGAACCCTGCCCTATTGTGTGGACTGTCT